TTAATCACGTCAACGGTTAAGTCGTGTAGTTCTAGTAACGTTTAGTTTCCACTTTAATCACATCAACGGTTAAGTCTTGTAGTTCTAATAACGTTTAGTTTCCACTTTAATCACATCAACGGTTAAGTCTTGTAGTTCTAATAAAGTTTAGTTTCCACTTTAATCACATCAACGGTTAAGTCGTGTAGTTCTAGTAACGTTTAGTTTCCACTTTAATCACATCAACGGTTAAGTCTTGTAGTTCTAATAACGTTTAGTTTCCACTTTAATCACATCAACGGTTAAGTCTTGTAGTTCTAGTAACGTTTAGTTTCCACTCTAACCACATCAACAGTTAAGTCTTGTAGTTCTAGTAACGTTTAGTTTCCACTTTAATCACATCAACGGTTAAGTCGTGTAGTTCTAGTAACGTTTAGTTTCTACTCTAACCACATCGACGGTTAAATCGTGTAGTTCTAGTAACGTTTGGTGTATACGCTAATCACATCAACAGTTAAGCCTTGTGATTCTAATAACGTTTAGGTTCCACGTTAATCACATCAGAGGTTAAGCCTTGTAGAATTGATGCAATATATTAATTACTTTAATATTGGTCTTAAATGTGTATCAAGTCCACAGCCTTAAAATCAGTAATATGATGCTTGATGCTTCAGAAAGAAAGCACACATCATGGCCCTATTTAGCCTTTATAGAAAGCTAAATAGAGGTACTGTACTACATCAATTAACCCTCACATAAAGGTAATTAATATCGGTATATTTAAATTTATGTACTGTATCGTATTAATCAACCTTTTTATAAAACATAGATAGTTAAAGATGCTCTAATATATCATTTAACCTTTACTTAAAACACAAAGAGAGTTCAATATAGGTAATGTGACATACTATATAGCCTTCACTTATAACATAAAGATAGTTAAATACAGGTACTTTAGCATATCATTTAACCTTTACTTAAAACACAAAGACAGTTCAATATAGGTAATGTGACATACTATATAGCCTTCACTTATAACATAAAGATAGTTAAATACAGGTACTTTAGCATATCATTTAACCTTTACTTAAAACACAAAGACAGTTCAATATAGGTAATGTGACATACTTTATAGCCTTCACTTATAACATAAAGATAGTTAAAGACAGGTACTTTAGCATATCATTTAACCTTTACTTAAAACACAAAGACAGTTCAATATAGGTAATGTGACATACTATATAGCCTTCACTTATAACATTATTACTGGTATTCCAAAGTGTATTTTAAATTTATTCCTTAAAACAAAAAGAAGATACAAATACTTTATTAAACTTACTAGCTGAGTTACCCGGCATTGCACGGTAAAAATTTAGATTTGAAATGTATAGATCAGTAATTTTTTCAGCAAATTATTCAGTAAGTAAAATTGTATGCTTGAATATTTGGTAAGAAGTGTTTAGATTCAGATGTAGTGCCTGTAAGTAGAGTTTTAATAGGTTCTGGAGGTTTCGAAAGCGCGGGTAATTGGTACAACACATTCCTGGTGATTCTTTATCCCACTTTTTAGCACCACATTTATCACATATATTAGACATTGATCCAATAGTAACCAGTTTGTCAGATGCATAATAAAAAAAAGGAAGTTCAAATGAATCTTTCCTAATATAATTATTCCAAGAGGAGTCGACTGTTCCTAATATTTGTTGATTCACTGGAGGTCTATATAGCCGTCTCTAATTTTGAGGTGATAGTATTGAGGTAAGGCAGCTAGTCAACACCACCAACTATCAACTCGAATAGTGGGATTTAACCATCATTCTTATAAAGCGCCCATTTCCACGCGAGTTTTCTTTTCTATTTTTTGGAGTTGGGGGATTAACGGAAAGTTCCTATATATAATTGAAGAGTTCTGTACTGAGCAAAACGCGTCGTTGGCAATGGATGCGACAAAAATAGTATGATTTAAACACTATTATCATACACTGTTCTTCTTTCATAAAAATCCCTAAGGAACTAGATAAAGAATATAGTGTTAAAAATATATTAAGCCTAATACTAATGTCTTATGGCAAATATAATTAATTATGACTATTCTTCGCCAGCATATAAAAGGAATTCACACATAAGAATTGTATGTTGAAGATAATATGGAAGTTTTGACAAAGTTAACAATTTTGTAAAATATTGTAAAAATATTTTTACATAAATTAGAATAAGGGTAAAGTTTAGTTTGTAAA